TGGGGTTTTCTAGATATAATATCATGTCATCAGCAAATAGTGAGAGTTTGATCTCTTCTGTTCCCATTCGTATGCCTTTAATCCCACTCTCTTGTGTGTGTGTTTTTTTCAGCTACCTTGAGCTGAATGGGTGAAGGTACAGAGAGAATAATGAGTTCCATTCAACCAGGACTGTGTTTGGCCACGGAAGAAGGGAAGAAAGGGCAGGAGAGCAGATGATAATTATCCCTGTTGATCCTTTCTAAAATTGTGTTCTCTCAAAAATATATACAATGTCTATTCCCTTTTTCTGCTTTATTTTTTTAGTATTATTATCACGTTATTATTAATAAATATAATTATTATTAAATTTCTCTTATTTACTGTCTCCCCCATATAATGAAAGCTCTATGAGGGCAGGGGTTTTTGCCTGTTTTGTTCACTGCTATTGTCTTTTTATTTTTTATTTTTTATTTTTTTTGAGACAGAGTCTCACTCTTTTTGCCCGGGCTAGAGTGAGTGCCGTGGCGTCAGCCTAGCTCACAGCAACCTCAAACTCCTGGGCTCAAGCAATCCTTCTGTCTCAGCCTCCCGAGTAGCTGGGACTACAGGCATGTGCCACCACGCCCAGCTAATTTTTTCTATATATTTTTAGTTGTCCAGATAATTTCTTTCTATTTTTAGTAGAGACGGGGTCTCGCTCTTGCTCAGGCTGGTCTCGAACTCCTGAGCTCAAACAATCCGCCCGCCTCAGTCTCCCAGAGTGCTAGGATTACAGGCGTGAGCCACCACGCCCGGCCTGTTTTCATTTTCTTAATGGTGGCTTTTGAAGAGCAGAAGCTTTTACTATAATGTAGTCCACTTTATCAAGTTTTTTTCTTTTATAATTTGTTCTTGTGTCCTATGCAAGAAATTTTTGCTTATTACAAGATTTTTTTCAATTTGCTTCAAGAGGTTGTATTGTTTTCCTTTCTATGTTTAGGTCTATCTTCTCATCAGCTCATGGGACACTTTCTAAGATAGACAATGTTAGGCTGTAAAACAGGTCTTATCAAATTTTAAAAAATCAAAATTACACCATGTATCTTCTCAGAGGAAGAAAACTAGAAATCAATTCCAAGAGGAACTCTCAAAACTACACAAATACATGGAAATTAAACAACCTACTGATGTATGATTTTTTGGGTCAATGATATAATCAAAATGGAAACAAAATTTTTGAATTGAATAACAATGGTGACTCACGCTCCCCAAATTTCTGGGATACAAAAAAGCAGTGCAAAGAGGGAAATTCATAGACTTAAATACCTACATCAAAAGAAAGATCAAAAATTAACAACCTAATGTCATACCTTAAGGAACTAGAAAAAAGAAGAACAAACCAAATTCAAAGATAGCAGAAGAAAAGAAATAACAAAAATCGGAGAAGAACCAAATGGTATGGAAACTAAAAAACAATACAAAGGATCAACAAAACAAAAAGCTGTTTCTCTGAAGAGATAAAAAAAAAATTGATAGACCACTAGCTAGTTTAACCAGAAATAGAAGAGAAAGAATTCAAATTAGCTCAGTCAGAAATGAAAAAGGAGACATTACAACTAATACCACAGAAATATAAAAGAGCATCTGAGACTACTATGAACAAATCTATGCACATGAACTAGAAAATCTATAGGAAACGGATAAATTTTTGGAAATATATTACCTCCCAAGCTTGAATCAAGAAGAAATACAAATCCTGAACAGACCAATAATGAGTAGAAAGATTGGACCTGTAATAAAAATTCTCCCAACAAAAAAAAGCTGAGGACCAGATAGATTCACAGCCAAAGTCTACCAGACTTATTATACAAAGAAGAACTGGTACCTATCGTATTGAAACTGTTTCATAACATCAAGAAGGAGGTAATCCTCTCTAACTCATTCTACAAAGCCAGCACTACCCTGATACCAAAGCCAGGAAAGGACACAGCAAAAAAACCCAGAAAACTTCAGACCGATATCTCTCATGAACATAGACTGAAAAATCCTCAACAAAATGCTAGTAAACGCTTACATGGTAGTAATATTCACTGGGTGTTGAGGGGTGGGGGTGGATAAAGTCACAACTAATGGATGCAGTGAGCACTGTATGGGGGAAGGGCACAGCTCTATCCCTGGCTTGGGTGAGGCAAAGTCATATCTTGTAACCAAAATGTTTGTACCCCCATAATATCCCGAAATAAAAAAAAATGCTAGTAAACTAAATCCAATAGCACAATAAAAAGATAATTCATCATGATCAAGTGGGTGTTATCCAAGGTATGCAAGGATGGCTCAACATATGCAAATGAATAAATCTCATTCACCACATAAACAGAATTAAAAACAAAAACCATATGATCATCTCAATAGATGCAGAAAAAGCATTTGATAAAATCCAGCACCACTTCATGATAAAAACCCTTAACAAACTAGGCATAGAAGGAACATAGCTTAAAACAGTAAAAGCCATATATGACAAACCCACGGCCAACTTCATACTGAATAGAGAAAAGTAGAAAGCATTCCCCCTAAGAACCAGAATCAGACAAGGGTGCCCACTTTCACCAATTCTATTCAACACAGTATTGGAAGTCCTACTTCGAGCAATCAGGCTAGAGAAAGAAATAGAGGGCATCCAAATTGGAAGAAAGGAAGTCAAACTATACCTGTTTTCTGATGATATGATCAAATACCTAGAAAACCCTTACGACGCCTCCAAAAGACTCCTAGAATTAATAAATGAATTCAGCAAAGTCTCATGTAACAAAATTTACATACACAAATCAGTGGCATTTCTATATGCTAATAACAACCAAGTTGAGAATCAAATCAACAACTCAATTCCATTTACAATAGTTGCAAAAAAAAAAAAAAAAACCCTTGGAATATACTTAACCAAGGAGGTGAAAGATCTCTATCAGGAGAACTACAAACACCTGATGAAAGAAACTGCAGATGACACAAGCAAATGGAAAAGCATTCCATGTTCATGAATCAATACTGTGAAAATGTCCATACTGCCCAAAGTAATCTATAGATTCAATGCAATTCCTATCAAAACATCAATGTCATTTTTCAGAGAATTAAAAAAAAAAACCCTAAAATTCATATGGAACCAAAAGAACACAAATAGCAAAAGTAATCTTAAGCTAAAATAACAAATCTGGAGGCATTATATTACCTCACTTCAAATTATACTACAAGGTAATAGTAACCAAAATAGCATGGTACTGGTATCAAAGCAGACACATAGATCAATGGAATAGAATCGAGAACCCAGAAATAAAGCCAAACACCTACAACCAAATGATCTTCAACAAAGCAGAAAAAAGGTATATACTGGGAGAAGGACACTCTATTCAATAAATGATGCTGGGAAAATTGGTTAGCCAGATGGAGAAGAATGAAATGGGATCCCTATCTCTCACCATATATAAAAATTAACTCAAGATGGATTAAAGCCTTAAGTGTAAGACCTGAAACCATAAAAATATTGGAAGAAAACTTAGAAAAAATCCTCAACATTGGTGTAGGTAAAGAATTTATGAGTAAGACCTCAAAAGCAAATGCAACAAAACTGAAAATAAATAAATGGGACAATTAAATTAAAAAGCTTCTGCAAAGCAGAAGATATACTCAACAGAGTAAATAGACAAGCTATGGAATGAGAGTAAATAGTTGTAAGCTACACATTTGACAAAGGCCTAATATCCAGAATCTACAAAGAACTCAAATCAGTAAGATAAAAACAAATATCTCCATTAAAAACTGGGCAAAAGGCATGAACAGACATTTTTCAAAATAAGAGAAACAAATGGCTAAAAAACATATGAAAAGTGGTCAACATCACTAATCACTAGGGAAATGTAAATCAAAATTATAATGAGATACCACCTTACCCCTGTCAGAATGGCCATTGTCAAAAAGTCAAAAAACAAGAGATGCTGGTGCAGATGTGGTGAAAAGGGAATGCTTATATACTGTTGGCGGGAATGTAAGTTACTGCAACCTTTACGGAAAATAGTATGTAGATTTCTCAAAGAACTAAAAGGAGATATACCATTCGATCCAGCAATCCCACTACTGGGTAGCTACCCCTAGGAAAATAAGTCATTTTATAAAAAAGACACTTGCACCCATATGTTTATCACAGCACAGTTCACAATTGCAAAGATAAGGAACCAACCTAAGTGACCACCAATGGATGAGTGGATAAAGAAAATGTTATACACACACACACACACACACACACACACACACATACATACACACACACACATACACACACACACACGCGCCATGGAATACTAATTAGCTATCAAAAAGAATAAAATAAGGTCTTTTGCAGAAACTTGGATGGAAGTGGAGCCATTTTCTTAAGTGAAGTAACCCAGGAATAAAAAGCAAATACTGCATGTTCTCACTTATAACTGGGAGGTAAGCAATGGGCATGGGGGACGTGGGGGTGAGCATGATCATAAAGAGTAACTTGATGGACACTGGAGACTCAGAGGGAGAGGGTGGGAGGAGGATGAGGGATAAAGAATTACCTACTGGGTAGAAAGTACACTACTCAGGTGATGGGTACATTAAAAGCCTAGACTTCTCCACTATCCAATTCAGCTATGCAACAAAAATCACTTATACCCCCTATTTAATCTATTTAAATTAAAAAAAAAAAGAAAAAGAAAAAGTGATGATAGATAACTTAGGAGACTAGGTCACAAAGGGTGCTCTCTCTTGGGTTGTTTGCTCTGTGGCAAGACAGCTGCCATGTCATGAGGATAATCAAGCTTCTCTCTGGAGAGGCCATGTGGCAAGGAACAGGTTTCTGGACATAAATAGGGAGTTAGATCTTTTGTCAACAATCATGTGGATGAGCTGGGAAGTAGACCCTCTAGCCCTCAACAATTTTCCAGATGACATTTTGATTGCAACCTCACAAGATACCTTGAGCCAGAGTCACCAAGATAAGTCATTCTCAAAATTCTTGACTCATGAAATTATAAAATAATAAATATTGTCTTTAAGACTTTAAATTTTGGAGTAATTTGTTACCTAGCAATAGATAACTAATGCAGTTCCAGAGTAATAGAATTGGGAATTGAA